TTCCTTCTTTTTAATTCAATCCTATCTTTTTAGTAAGCTTACAATGACAAGTCAAATTGTTGTTGATCTTAGTGGTGATTCTTTTTTATTTAGGAATTTCCATCATGGATAATGATTGGACTTGCTAGAGTCAAAGGAAGTCTTTACTTGTTGAAGATTTCATATCTTTACTAACTTCAAAACATGTTAGTTTCAATAAACATAATTTTGGTCATTCTGTCATTCCTATTGTTAGTGCTAATATTATTCTATTGACAAAACGAATGTCATTAAACAAAATTATCTTAAGGTTTTTAGTAATTCAAATTTTAATAAAATTCCTTCTATTGTTTATCCAATGCTAAACACAAACGATTTGTTTTTCCAGTACACATTCAAACCACAACAATTCTTTTTCTATACACTTATTCAAAATTAGTTTGGCTTTTTTATTATACGGGATAAATAAGATAATGGATCAAAATTTAATCTTACTAAGTTCTATTCCATAAAAGGAATTGTCCATCAATTTTCTTATGTAGGAACACCTCAATAAAATGGAGTTGTTGAAAGAAAACACTAACATCTCCTTGTTATTGCTAGAACTTTATTTTTTCAATCTCAATTACCCATTAGATGTTGTCTTAACTATAGCTTATTTGATTAGTAAGCTCCTACTCTTATTCTAAATAATAAAACAACTTATGATGTTGTTTATTTAAAAAACTTTATATCTTTTTCTTAGAGTCACCTGGTTGTATGTGTTTAGCAACTACTCTTTCTCATGACATTAAAAAAAAAATTGATTCTAAAGCTAAACGATGTATTTTCATTGGATATCTAGTAGGCATAAAGGCATACAAGTTATATGATCTAACTTCTAAACTAGTTTTCATTTCTAAGGATGTTATTTTTTATGAATATGTTTTTCTTTTTTCTTCCATCTCATTTAGTTCTTTACCTACCATACTAGCTATTGTTTCTCATTATGCATTACATGTTATTCCAAATGTTGTTCCTAATTCATCTTTTTCCTCTTTCATTGCATCATTTGTTCCTACTAATTGTTATGAATCCGTAGAAATTTCTTCTATTCTTGATTAAACAAATGCTCTTTACGATTCTATAGCATCTTCCAATAATAATCCTTTTTTTAATGATCCTCCTCAAACATCTATACCTTCTACCACTTATTCACTCTCTATTAGGAAGAGTACTAGAGTCGACAAACCTCTTACTTATTTATCCGATTATCAAGTCCAATTTCTTTCAAATCATTCATCTACTTGTTGTTCTATAGCTCATCCTTTTCATCACTATATTTCTAGTACATGTTTGTCATCCTCATACAAATCCTTTCTTACTTCTCTTTCACATTTTCATGAAACTCAAATATATCAATAATTTTTGCTTTTTTATCATTGGCAAGATGCCAAGAAAGTAGAAATTGAAGCTCTTAAATAGAGTAACACTTGGACTATTATTTTCCTTCCTCTTGGTCAACATACTATGGGTTGCAAGTGGTTTACAAACTTAAACTGCATGATGATGGTACCATTGATAGATTCAAAGCCAAGTTAGAGGCTACGGGATTTAGTCAACAAACATGTTATGATTTTCAAGAAAATTTCAATTACGTTGTTAAACAAACTACCATTAGTTTTTTTTTTTTAGGCATTTGTAACTTCTCGGGGTTGGTTCTTGTCATAAATAGATGTGAATAATACTTTTTTAAATGAAGATTTAGAGAGGATAGTTGTTATGGATCTTCCTTCGAGTTATCAACTCCAAGGGAGTATTCTACACATACAAAATCCTTATATGGCTTAAGTTAGGCATCCGAGTTAGTGAAACTTTAAGCTTTCTACTGCATTGTTATCTTTTGGATTTACAAAATCAAAGTCAAATTATTCCCTTGTCGTCAAAAGAGTATTTGATGATGTCTTTTTTGCTTTACTTATGTATGTTGATGATTTGGTGATTGCAAGTAATTCAATTGATACTATAGCTGAATTCAAAAAGTATTTGCATTCATAGTTCAAAATGAAAGATTTTGGTAAGTTGAAGTTTTTCCTTAACATTGAAGTTACTAGGTCATCCAAAGGAATTTCTTTATGCCAAAGGAAATACATTCTTGATTTGTTAACTAAACATGGGATATTGGGGGATAAACTAGTGTCTACACCAATAGATCCCTACAACATACTTATACGGACACAATCTAGTTTTCTTAAAGATCTTATTATCTATAAACAAATTGTGGAAAAAAATTTATATTTGACTTTCATCAAGCCTAACATCTCGTATGCGATTGAAGTCCTTTATTAGTTCATAGATAAACCAACGGACTTTCATCTCTAGGTAGTATTTTGATTCTTAAAGTATCCGAAGATGCACTCGGACAAGGTTTATTATTCTATTTACAATCTCTAGTTCAATTACAAGCTTACACTAATAGTGATTGGACAAGATGTAAAAATTCAAGAAGGTCCGTCATAAGCTTTTGTGTTTTTTCTTGGAGATTCTCTTGTTAACTCGGAAGTCTAAAAGCAATCCTTGGTTGCTAAGAGTTCAGTCGAGGTAGAATATAGGGCTATAGCTACAACTTGTTGTGAAGTTATTTGGCTATTAACTCTGTTTGCATATTTAGGTTTTAAGCATGAAGAGACTATTATGCTTAAGTGTGATAATCGATCCGCCATTCACATAAGCAAGAATCTAATGTTTCACTGGAGAACAAAACACATAGAGATAGATTGTCACTTTATTAGAAGGAAAGTTCTTATTGGAATTATGTAACTAGAATTTGTTACCTTCGCTTGTCAACTTGTAGATTTGTTCACTAAACCTTTATAGCCTATGCTATTTTACTTTCTTATATGTAAGATGAGCATGATTGACATTCATGCTCTTTATGAGTGAAAGTATTAGAAGTCTTAACTTTCTTGTCATTTCTTACGTGGCTTTATACCTAACTAATTATATTTTGTTAGTTAGCTAGCTAATTAGTTAGACAAGTTAGTTAGCTTATTAGTTATAGAAGTTACTAGTCAATTTCTCTTTTTCTTCTTCCGTATATTAGTCCTGCACGGTTAGTTTTCAATTGATCTTTTTTAATTTCATTTTTGAGTTTCAATGTGAAGTAGAGAAGTTTTCCTCTCTTTCAAAGAGCCTATTATTTGTCGAATAATAGTTAAAAATAGTAAACTACAGACTAGATAATAGAAACATAGTAATTTATTTTGTGATGTCCATTAGTTTTTTGGATAACTTATTTGGTGACAATTTTTTTTACCTCTGGGTCAAAGTCAACTATAGACGAGATAATAGAAAATGTGAACATGGCAGATATTCTTTTGAAGCGTCCATCATCTTTGACAAAAATACCAAAAGAAATTGATTGGTCGACAAGTACTTGGAGTTGGTGTGTTGGCTGATGTTTTTACGGAGAAAAGAACATAGTAAACAACATTATTACAGCTTACTTAGGTTCTGTGCATGATATGAAACACAGTAAACCGCAATACTATAATCTATATAACACGACATCATCAAGTTTAGCCTACCTTAACCTATAAGTTCCATGTTATTCTATTTCTGAAGGCTAGTTAACTTGCTGATAGTTATTGAGTCCAACGGCTCAGCCAGGTAAGCTTGAGTTCGTGCTGACAATTCTTGTGCCACAAAACGCATGGTGGGTCGTGTCTCTGGCTTGATTCTTGTGCATGCTAAGGCCAGTGTAACTACGAAAACAACTTCCTCTGCAGCTCTGCCTGTGGGAGCTTCAAGCCGCGGGTCTAGCACGTCCTTTAGAAACAACTCTGGATCGTTTGACAATGATGGTTTTATTGATGATAAAAAAGTTAAGAGCTCTCCCGGGTGCTTTCCCATCATAACTTCCAAAGCCACCACCCCAAAGCTATACACATCACATTTGTCTGTGACCCGCATTGTTTGTGCCAGCTCTGGAAACATTAGGCAATCAAAAAGAACATTTGCAAAATTTAATCACCAAGACACAGGCAATTAACAATGACAAAATGCTAAAAGTGATTCTTATGGTTTTGTTTGGCTAAAGAGGAGGCAAGATTTGGTAGTATAAGAAACCATTTCAAAGGAAACCTTTTTCCGCAACATAACTGAAACATTTAAACATTATTCCATGTTGCCCGTTTCCTTGTTATAACCTGTTGTAGCTTCTATAACTTCAGGGAAAAAGCTATTAAAACTCTATTTCGCAATACTCAAGTGACAAGGAAAAGAAAGCACGATTTATGATTGTTAGCTTACCTGGAGCCATGTAACCATAAGACCCAGCAACTGCAGTCCAGTTGGAGGAATCTGAATCCAAGAGTCTTGCTGTGCCAAAATCTGAAAGACGTGGCTCAAAATCTGTCTTTAGCAAAATGTTATTCATCGATATGTCTCGGTGCACAATGGGTGGAGAACAGTCATGGTGCAAGTAGGCAATTGCATGAGCTACTCCTCGCAATATATTCACTCTCCTGCCCCAACCAAGCTCCATTTCCCCTTCTATCCCATAAAATACTTTTCCCAAACCTCCTCTTTCAACGTACTTGTAAACCAAGTACAACAATCCTCTCCTGGAGCAAAACCCGTGAAGCTTGATGATGTTCCGGTGCCTAACTTCTGTCAGCATTTTAATCTCATTCTCGAAACTCTGGCGATTGATCAGTGGGATGTCACTGGAGTCTGACATGTTGAGTTTCTTGACTGCAACCACTTGACCTGTGGACAATACTGCTTTGTAAACACTGCCAAATCCTCCTCTTCCAATGCAGTAATTCTCATTGAAATCATCCGTGGCCTTGACAATATCTCCAAATGTGAACTTGCCTTCACTTTTCAGTACCATTGACTCCGAACCTTGACCAACATTGAAGCTTTTGATCTCTTCATCAAGCAGTTTGGTTTTTCGGCAACATAGCAGAACAGCAAAACTAGTTACTATTACTAATAAGCCACAAACTGGAACGATAACCCCAATAAGGACCTTTTTGTTATGCTTCGAGGACTTGCCTGCTGTCTGTCGTTGGACATTGTGTTAATCCTTCTGCTTTACCGCACAATCCTGAATTTCCAATAAAAGATCTTGCAGATGCATTTTGGAAAACGGTTCCAGTTGGTATAGCCCCAGTCAACTCATTGTATGAGAAATCAAAAGAATGCAGGCTATTCATAGCGGACAGTGAACCTGGGATTCTTCCTGAGAGATGGTTACTTGAGACGTTGAGATTCTCCAACATCAAAAGCTTTCCCAAATCTGAAGGTATGGTTCCCGAGAGTGAATTTCTGCTCAGATCCAACAAGTACCGCAACGAGTTTAAGTTTCCCAGCTCGAAAGGTATTTCACCAGAAAGATTGTTGTGGCTCAAGTCCAAGCTTGATAGCTTCTCACCACTCCCAAGCTCTTTAGATATGTTTCCAGTCAGCTTGTTATCAGATAAGTCAAGAGATTCAAGCCTTGTCAAACTGACTAGACCCTGAGGTATCTCCCCTGTCAAACGATTGCTGCTCAAATTGAGCGTGAATAACATGCTTAGATTTCCCAGTTCAGCTGGGATCCTCCCAGTCAGGTCATTGGAATCCAGACTTAGAACTCCCAGCCGGGGCAACTTCCCAAGCTCAGCAGGGATTTCACCAGAAATTCTGTTTCTGCCCATCTGTAAATTGGTGAGGTTTTTATATTCTCCCCAATCTGGTGAGATTTCACCAATAAATTGATTGTCACTAAGAGCAACAAAAACAAGGTTTGGAAGAACACCAAATGCATCGGTGATGTTTCCAGTGAATTGGTTGTCTTCAAGCCGAACTCGAGTTAGTCCTGAACAATTCCTCAAGCAGGTTGGCAATGACCCTGTAAAGTTGTTGCTATTGACAGTAAATTGTTGAAGACTCAGACCACTGCACAATTCGTGTGGCAATTCTCCAGAGAAACTATTGTTTGAAAAGCTAGCAAACACCAGAGAAGGAATGTCCTTCCCAAAATCACTTGGAATAGTACCAGAGAAGTTATTGCCAAACAGACTGATAGAAGTTAAAGAAGTAAGATTTGAAATAGTCTCCGGCAACTCCCCATGGAGTTGGTTGGTGTTAAGATCAAGAATTTGCAGTGATGTCATATTTCCAACTTCTGGTGGAAGTGTACCATTGACCTTATTGAAGAAAAGATTCAGGATTTGAAGATTTGTGAGATTCCACACTGTTGGAGGAATGGGGCCTGAAAGATGGTTTCTTGAAAGGTCTAGACTTTTCATTTCTTTCAAGTTTCCTATCTCAGAGGGAATGGGACCAGAGAATGTATTATTATGCAGAAACAGAATTTGGAGCATTGTCAATTGCCCAATTTCTGGAGGAATGTTTCCAAAAAACAAATTGTTTTGAACTTGAAACGAGGTCAGTGCAGTCCAGTTGGATATAAGGGCAGGTGAGATCTCACCAGAGAAAGAATTTTCAGATAAACCTATGTCGGTTATTTTATCTAGATTGGACAAAGACAGAGGCAATTCCCCACTTAGCTGATTATCAGCCAAGGCCAAGTAGGTGAGGTTAGTACAAAGGCCAAGCTCAGGAGGAATGGTTGAGTTTAAGGCATTCAAACGGAGATCAAGTTTTTCAAGATGCTTAAGTTGCCCTAAAGCAGATGGAATTTGACCACCCAATTGGTTATTTTCTAGACTCAGGCTTTTGAGATTGGAAAGCATCGAAATGTTGGATGACAATGGTCCTCGGAATGAATTGTCATTGAGATTGAAGGTCTCAAGCTTTCCCAGATTGGTATACACCAATTCTGGTATCTGGCCAGAGAAAAAGTTGATGCTCAGGTCCAAGTAAGTGAGCTTGGAGAGGCTGCCGATGGTTGATGGTATCGTTCCACTGACACTGTTGTTCTGGATGTCAAACCTGGTGAGATCAGTAAATGGGGTGAAGTTGAATTGGGCGAGTGTTCCATTTATTTCTAGGTTGGGGAGGTTTATTTGAGACACTGTTCCAGAGGCAGAGTTGCAGGAAATGGCAGTCCAGTTGCAAAGGTTGTCGAGGTTGGAACGGGACCATGAACGGAGAGAAGGAGGTGAAAGAATCAAGGTGTTTTTCCATTGGATGAGAGCTTCAGCTTGTGTTCTTGCTGATGATGTGGCCTTCAAAGGAAGCAAGGAGAGAAAGAGAATATGGAAAAGTGCAGCAGGATAAAGCTTTTGAGAAGCTGCCATGCTTAGCTTATGCAAGGTGGAGAGGATCTGGGTTGTGTTCTTATAGCTTTAGAGGGAGGAGTTGCTTTCAAGCTGTAATTATCAGTCTGAATAAGTTGACGATGACATTTCTAGTCACGAAAATAATCAAAAGGGTACATGCAGAACTGTGAATACAAAATTTTGAAGGAATAAAACGTAAAATGGGCCTAGCTTTCCAAATTACTCCTAAATCCCCATTTCGTGGGAGAGACCATAATTGGGTAAGGTTCATTTTCGTTTCAGATTTTGCCCATTATATCGTTTTTGTATTTTTTGAATTTTTTTAATTGAGGTATTGTATTTTATTTTATATTAATTGAATCTCTTTATTTTTTTATTTTTTTTCATTCCTCCTTCCATTATAAAACCATTAGTTTATGAGCAAATATGGCATATTTTGTTTTTGAATGCCTGAAATCCGAAATGTGTCATGTATAAGAATTCAATAATTTTTTTTCTTTCTATTCTTCATGTTATTAATTTCTTAAACTCTCATTCTAAATGCATAAAATGTATCTATGTTTTTCATCACAGTAAAATTGTGCAGCGTTTTTTCTTTTAAAAAAAATTGTTATGACAAGTTAAAAATAATAGTTATTTGTAAAAACAAAATAAAATAAAATAATCTAACATGCAGTTATTAAAAAAAAATGGTAATGTGCAATATCGATCAACCACAAATCTCTAATTAATGGGTTTAATTCTTTATATATAAATTTTTTTTTTGAATATTTAACCAATTCAAATTAAATGAAAAATAAGGTTGCTTCCTAAAAACAATATAATTAACTACTAGTCAATATTATTACTGCTTTCATTTTAATTTTGATAAACATATTTATACTCTATTTAAGACTGTCACCATATTTTTTCTAAATAAGTGACACATGTCATATATATATATATATATATATATATATATATATGACCAATTCAATATGAAAATGGGGTTGCTCTTTAAAAAAAATAAAAAACTAAAAATTGCACTACATTTTTCTTTGATATAATTAGCTACTAGTCATCATTACTACTGTTTTCATTTTAATTTTGATGAACATTATTGTACTTTTTCTAATTATACGTTAAGTTCATTTTATATATTTTTTATTTTACATATAATATGTTTTATAATATTTAAGATGAGGTCTTAAAAAAAAAAAAATTTAGTCTATGTACTCTTTGAGTTATTTTAATTGAGACCATTTTATTGGGATCTCGCATATGACATGTGTTACATATTTAAGAGTGTAACAAGCTTTGTTAGCTAACAAAATATTGACTTTCAAACACGAAAGGTAACAAAAAAAAAAAAAGAGTAGGACTCGCTTAATAGTAAAGAGAATACAATGTCTCAATCAAAATAATTTGAAAAATACATGGATCATGTAAAGATAGGTTTTTTTTTTTTTTTTTTGAAGGCAATATCTATGTACTGTTCATATAAAAAAACTAACTAATTCAACTAACTCTCAAGAAATTTTTTTTTTTTTTTAAAAAAAACTAATGCAACTAAGGGTTCATTCTTTGACCAAAAAACAATATATATACTATGTAAATAATATTCTACATGGCTTTAAAAAAATGATTTAATTTCTACACATTATGGTCTGCGGTTTCGGGAAAGAGTCAAGCCCGGATTTTTGGTTTTTGTTTTTTATTTTTATTTTTTATTTTTATTCAACCTAACAAATGCTTGGATTTTTTTTTGTTTTTTTATTTTTATTCAACCTAACAAATTCTTGGATTTTTGTCTTTGGTTTTTTTTTTCTTTATTCAACCTAACAAATGTTTGGATTTTAAATTCTGGAAGACCGCAGGGTTGACACGGAAAAGTCCACATCACACGGAAGTAGTTGGCTCATAAAAGAGAAATTTCATGGTAGTTCAATTGATTTATAATGTATAATTGCATCCATGAGGGACCATGACCTAAAAAAAAAATCTTGTTACCATAAATATAATTTCAGGGAGTTAGTTATAATTTAGTTTTTATAAGTTATAAAACTAATTAACTAGTTTTCATGGTTTTTGAAATAATATATTTAATCCCTATATTTTAGATCTATTAATTATAATTTGATCTTTTTCGTCAATTTCATGTACCTTCCAATTTTTATTTTAAAAAATAAAAAATAAATAAATAACATGGAAAAATTGATGAGAAAAGAAGATATTTAAAAAAAATAATAATAAATAATACTCAATTAAACATAATCAACACTAATCAAAGAACTATTTAATTATTTTGTGATTCTACATGGATTAAGTTATTTGTTTTGAAACACTAATCAAACATTTTGTCTCTTAAGATTTTGCATTATATTTATAGATCTGAGCTCACCTCATTGTTTAGAGATTCAACATCTTTTCTTACTTTTTTTTGTATCAGTTTACCATATCATATGTGAAATTGATTTTTAGACGCCATTAATTTCAAGAAGATCGACTTTGTGAATCTACTTCTTGTTTTTTTATTCTATGTTATGCTGTAGGGGTATAATGTTTTTGTATGGTCAAGGTACCACCTAACTTTAGTTTAATTAATGATATGTGATATCATTTTATTTTCTTAAAAATAATTATTTTTATATCATGAATCAAAGAGAACCTCTTTAAGTGGTTAAAAAAAAAAAAGAAGCAAACTTGTCATGATATACTACTAAACAATTGTAATGAAATTCCTTCTAGACAAAACTAGGATTTGAACTCCTAATCAATTGCTACTTCGCTAGTTCTTTCAACAAGATAAATGATTCTAAATTATTATGAACTTTCAATCAAACTAAATCAATTCGTAACTTTTAAAAATTTTAATTTGATTATGATGAATTTTTTTATAGTAAATAATAGGTTGTATCAACTAATTTTTTGAAGTTGATCGTAAGTAAAAATTACTTGATAGTATTCAAAAATAACATGTATCTTATTAACATAAATTTAAAACAAGACTTGTATACGAGGATATCAATTAGTAGGACACTAGATTTTTACCTGTGCTACACTGCGAGCTGAATAATCTGAATAAAACATGCAAAATTATCTACATCAATTTTTTTTTTTAATTTCTGTATATATTGTAAGTCCACTGAAAATATATAAAATCAGAAGTAAAAAAAATAATTGTTCAATTTTATGATTCTTTTATCAAAATTTTATATTTGATCAATTATTTTGTGTTTTTTAAAATTTTTTGGAAAAACAAACAAAAAAAAAACATAATTTCTTCATCTTTATTCGGATTATTGACTAAAAACTTATTTTTGTAAAATTTTTTTCTAAAAATTTCAGGCAAATTATCCAGAAAAGACTTTTAATCTTTGGATTAAATTTATATACAAATTTAATTAAAGGTTAAATAATATTTCATTGTTATTATTACATATATTACGTTTTCGCCAAAAACAAAGTTAATTAATCAAAATTATAGGGATAGACCAAAAATCTGAGATGAAAATAATAATAATGATAATAAATATCAAAAACGAAATTCTAAAAAAAGAAAAACATATCTAGGAAAGCCCAAAATATCAAGAGTGGGTTTTATTTTAAGTTGGAAAAGTCTTGTAAACAGGAAACAATTTTTTATTTTTTTATTTTACTATTCCCAATTTTATTTGAAACTCTGTTAAAAAGCTGATTTTGCACTACCTTACTATTGCTACTAAATGGTGCATTATAAATCTGTCGCAAAGATTGTTGTTGGATCCATTGGAGCTAAAGTATTTGATAAAGTTCAAGCAGAAATAAACGGTGAAGCTTCTGGATTAAGCCTGACACTTTTACCATGCTTACTTCTGTGCCCCTGCTTTTAGTTTTCTTTAAACATAGCATTCCCAGCTTGCTATGAAAAGGATTTTTATGAAAATAATAAGAGAGCTGAGTTCTGAGCTTGACAGAATTCTTTTCTGAATAAGTTTCAAGTTTTTTTTTCTGACTTATATAATAATCTAAAAACTTGTTGGAGTTTACAATGTCCAAGTAATATCCATTCAAATCTAACATCTGCCTATTCCCAATGCATATATATGTTCTACAATGTTGAGACTTAAAGAAAGCTATCCTGACATTGTAAACTTGTCAGGATTGCTAATAAAACGTCAATTGTAGTGCTTTTTTTTTTTTCCCAGTACAATTTATGTATAACTCACACGAACTTCTAGACTTCACCATTAAATACTCCCTGTGACTGTTATAAAAAAGAAGACCAGATACCTTGAATCGTCTTGTGAGCTCATTAGCATGCGGCACATTAGCAAGCTTTGATTGGCCATATGCTTAGAAATTTGTATACCTTCATAAGAGCAAGCAGAGACAATCAAAATTTTGCATTCAAGATCAATATATAAACATAGCATGATTATAACGGATAGCAAGTTAAACACACTGCATAGCCTGCATCAATCCAATGCATGTAGAGAATGCAGATAGTGTTTCATGTTTTAAAAACATAAGCATGACACTGGAAGAAGAAAGATGTGTCATGAAAGCTATTCCAATTAAATAAAAAATACACGCATATACTACATTTAACAATTACATGTTCTGAATCATAGCATGTAGACATAAACAACTGCCTAAAAACTTAATATACGATAAGCTCTTTGCAATGAAATCTTCATGTTTACCAAGAAAATTTCACTCACAAATCATGAGAATTTGACAGGTCTTCAGATAGAATCATATGAAGCATGCAAAATAGTTTGCTTTCACATGCTCACGATATATATACATAAGCAGATATCACTGAACATTTCTATATATTGTTCATCCCCACCATACTATCAGATTTCATTGGCACAAAATTCGGTCCAAACTAGATCACTTGCACACAAATTTTGAGAACTCTAATCTTTAGAAGCCGACAAAGAAAGAAAAGATTAAAGCCAAGTAACCAAATGGAAAATGCTTCTTCTATATATGTAATAATTAATGGATCAAACCCACTATTCACACACCATCCTTCCCAGCTAATTACCCAAAACTATCAACTGATCATAATTACTCGAACAATGGAACCAAGCACAACCATCAACAGAGACCGAATAAATGAAAGAATAAAAAAAATCAGAGTGAGAGAGTAGAGTATCAAACCTTAAAAGGGCAAACAGACAAGTAGCGAAGCATATGAATTGAAGCTACAAATGGGTTTTTCTTTTCTTGTCTTTTCTACAATAGTTGAAGTCAGTTTCAACGGAGACCCAAACTGAGCAAGAGTCCTATTTTCGATTTTGGGGTTAGGATATTAGCTTGCATCTCTTTCTCTTTATTTCGTGCCCACTTGTCTCCTCGTGTATTTCTCTCCTCTTTTTAGCACAAACTTCGTCTCAATTTTTAGAGAGACAAGCAGCTTGACTTTGGAGGTTTGCAGTAAGCTTGATTTTCGGTTTAAAAGAAGTGAAGGTGGAAGTGATGCGTGTGAAACGGGTGGGTTTGTTCAGGAGAAAGAGTAAAGGTTTTCTGCAAAAAGTGAGGGCGTCGCGAGGGAGAAGGGAGGAGAGCTTTTTTTGAGAAAGAGAGAAAATCTAGGTTTGGATGGATGCAACTTTCTATTTTTTTCTCAATTTGATAGAAAATTCATGATACTTTCAAAATTTTAACCCTTCTCATAACATTAAGAAGTTCGAGACATTACATATAGATATACAAATACAAGATCTTGGAATACAATAAACCATGTTAAGATCCAATGTTAACTACACAAGATTTACATATCGGTTAAAGGGATGTGCTTCCTTAACTAGCGGTGGCCCGTAGTGGGACCCCTGGCCCAAAAGGAATTCAACTTATGTTGTTAAGACCATGTGAAAGTATGGCCACCCCAGCATTATCTAGGTATTGGGTTCTATATGTTTTATGCATGACCCGAACAACGAGCATGCACCATCCCCAATTAAAGCAACAAATATAAATATTCGCGCTTGAGGTCACAGCTCAGCGTTAAAGTTGAGAGTCGCTCATCGATGATATTTAGATTCGATTCTCTCTGCATATGCCTATCACCCTCGTGATACTTTACTTGTTCACTGGACTTGCAGAGTGTTCGATGGGCTCAGAGATTAATCGAGATACGCGTAAGCTGGCTCTGACATCTCAGGTTATAAAAAAAAAAAACAAATATAAATATTCAGCTCTTTTTTTCTTACCTACATTGCGGATAAAATAAAATTAAATCATTTCAATTTGATACCATACGTTATACTTTTGATCTATTAAAATATATTAAATTAAAAGTAAAATTAAATAATAAAAAAAATCAAAATTTAATAATTTTTCAATCAAAATCTTATATTTAATTGATTCTTTCTTATATTTTTCATAAATTTTCAACTAAAAGAAAAAACATTATTTGCTCTTTTGTATGCATTAATTCTTTAAATAAAAACATGCAAAAATCTAAATAGAAAATTGAATTCAAAATTCTTTAACAAAAAATAAAAAAAACCTTAATATTTTTTCATAAGGTTCTATAAAAAAAAAAAATTAAACTTACAATTAACGTAAAAACCTTTTAAAAAATAACAAATAAAAAATTTAAATTTTTATTCTTATTTAATGCTTATGAGAAGATTATTTTTCAAAAGCATATATATATATATATATATATATATATATATATATATATGTTGCTCTCATTTAAAAATAATAAGAATTCATCATATAAATTATATTAGTGTATTTTAAAAAAATTAATCATATTTTAAAATTTGATTCAAAAATACATATAGAGAAAAAAATTATATTTGCTTAACAAATAAAATTGTATAAAAGTAGATTAAGAAATTAATTTGATAATTTCATAAAAATGACAAATCGAAGAAATCATCCTCAAATCTAAAAGAAGAAGAAAATCAGAAATAACAAATTGAAAAAAATCATATTTTTTAATCATCAAGTTGTATGAAAAAAATAATAATAATAAACAACAATTATATTTTTTCATAAATTTAGCACAAAATCTATAATAAAAAACAATTAAAAAAATTGCTTGAAAAAATTCTAAAGATCAAAACAAGATATAAATGAAGTTGGAGATAAAAATAAATTTTTTTTTTTTGAAAACATGAAAGACCAAAACTTAAAATTGAGTAAAACTTGGGCATAAATGTTTAAAAACTGCACAAAAATCATAAAAATACCACTATATATTGAAAACAAAGGATGCAGTGCACATCAGTTTGAATGAATAAAGCATTAAGTGTGAATGAATAGTATACATAAGTCTAATGAATAATGTATTGAGTCTGGCTGAATAATGGTATGAATGGTATTTTTTTCAAATCTTTTAGTATTTTGTATAATATTTAATATCGTTATTGCGTTTGTATTTTGAATTTATATCACACAGTTTAGTTATTTCTTCAAAAATGGTAGAGTTTTTTCCTTTAATTTTCTGAATTAATTTTAAATTTAGGTTGTTAGCACTTACAAAACTTTACTCCTCTAAGTATACTGAAACAATACGATAAGTGTTTTAAAATCATTCGAAAAGTTAATCCGTAAGTTGGTTCTAAGATATCCTAATAAATAAAAAGAAATTATATTTTAGTTATATTACCGTACAGAATTGATAATACCCAAATTGGAAGGTCCAAAACGTAATTATGTATGGTCCAAGGATACTTGTATAAAGTCTAACAAGATTGTCTCCAACGTGATCCCATTTGTCTCTCCCAGGAGGAATCTGAGGTTAAATTCAGAGTAGCAGGCCGCAAAAGTTGAACTCAGTTTTGTTGGTTATGTTCATCTATGGTCTATGGAGGATGGGAAACCACTGGGCTACGGAGGTAGAGTTAGAAATCTCAACAAAGATACAGAAATAAAGGAAATTTCTTCCCTATTACCAAAATACTCACGTGCAATAATAAGCAACTAGGTCGACCAAATATTATAGATTATCATTTGTGACACTTTCTCTCTTGTTATCTATCTTCAAACATATATATATATATATATAGGTTCAAAAAAAAAGACAACTAGTTTGACCATATATTCTACCATGTTTTACTTAAGAGAAAACCTCAATCTACCTCCTAATCTATGATTTCAATATCAATTGAATTTTGAATATTTGATTTTATTAGTTTTGTCTTATATGTAATGAACATTAAACGATACTCAATCCAATATTCACCATTAGTGATAGCTAAATATTTCATCAACTATTTACCATTAGTGATAGTTAAATATTTTATCTAATTTACAAAGTACTTTCATTAAAAACATCAAAATAAATCCAATATATAGTAATGAATAGCTTTAGTGTCAAATCATAATATATTTCCCTTTTATATGAGTTAATATAGTGAAGGAAAAAAAGAAAATTTACTATGATTTAATACTAGGATTATCTTTTAGAGCATATTGAGACTTATTTAGACGTCTTGGATGGATGAATTGAGGGGTGATGTTGTCCAATGTTCATTACGGTTGAAGCAAAATTGACAAAATCAATAGATTTGGGACTCAATTGATAACGGGATAATATGGGTTTCCTTTTATAATATAGGTTTCATTAGGTCATTGGGTTCACCATGTTACTGAAAAAATTAGGCCAACCAAGCAGCCCAGATAGTGAAAGTCAACTTTTGAACAAGAAAAAGAAAAGGATATCAGAATTCTTCCATTCATGCATGGCCCTAGAGAAATTTGGCGAATAAACTGACTGAGACTATCCCGCTTTAGGAAGCATGTTAGATTTAAGTTCTTTTATCAAAACTTAAATATGCAGTAATTAAAAAGATATCTGGTCTGGCCTTCGTACCTTAGCAACTGGATCTTCAAGCATTAATCAGCTGTTGGATTGACAAAACATGAACAGTGCTCGCATAAAGTCACCTACTACACAAATTTTGAACATTTGTCACAAAAAACCAACATAAAATGAGATGATAATAAATTCCAACTAGGGAAAAGACAACTTTAGGCATTCAACCACTTTGTCATCAATCTGAAATAACTAAAGTTTTAAGCATCTTTTGAGTTATATCCACACGTATAAAACATTTCTCTGTGCGGTAACATGTATGTAACAGAAATCATAAAGTATTCCTGCTTGGCGACTTACTTGTACGACCTAGAGAGTCTCTGGATCCCAAGGGGATTGAAAAACCATTACTTCTCCATAATGCATGGTAATTGGTGCATCCTTTGCTTTATGATTCAGGGTCACATCTCAGGGACCTTCACAACTAGGAACTGATTTCAGGAAATCCTGAACTTCTGCTTTCCTCCTCTTGTATTCCGTCCAAGCAAATCCTACAAAATACTGAAGAAGGTTAAAAGCAAAATAATAATGAAAATAAAATGTTCTTTAATCAAGTTACTTTATCTTGATTTCCCTCAAAATCATCGAGCATTCTGAAGGTACGGATTCCAACAACCATACATCAGTGCATCAAAATTCAATGGTCAAAACAGCTGTAAGAAGTGGAACCTTTTCTTAATGCAAATAATGTTATCTTCATATCAACAACGTTGTGACTGCACTAATTATTTGACGTGGAGGAAACAGAAGTAGAGTTCACACTTAAGCACACCTTGTAACTACTTCCTTTATGGTTTCATACACCATGTGTCTATATGCGTCTGCATATGCAGTTGACCATGTCTAAATATTTTCGTACGTTACCAAATACTTAATTTATTGAATTTCGGGGAACCCAGAAGGAGAAGTCCTTATGAAGATGCACGAGAGCTGGAAATAAATATACAAAACCGTAAGGCTTCATGATGATCATGCAATTATATTCTCTAGAAATTTAAATTAAACTTTTTGACTTGATAGATTGGAACTTTTCAAAGCTCGCCAAAAGAATTGAAGGTCAGAAGCAAAACAAAGAACATCAAAAGTATAGTAAAGCAAAAAAATTCTTAAACTCCCACCTTGCAATATCGTATTTTCCTTGACAGCTTCTTTGTCCAATTCAGGGAAAATAAAGGATCAGATATTTTGATGACGCTGATGAAACCGCAAGCATGACAAGAACACTGCAGAGGATATTTCACTTTCTCATTCTCTCTTCTGCTCTTGTGGTAATCGCTGCACAGACAGAAGCGGAAACATTGCTAAACTGGAAAAATAGTTTAAACGTCCCAACTCTTCCTTCATGGACTCTCAATAGCAGCAGTAGCCCATGCAAGTGGACAGGAATTCGGTGCAATGAAGCGGGAAGCATTATTGAGATAAATCTCAAGTACTCGGGCCTGGATGGAACTCTTGACAGGTTTGACTTCTCATCATTTCCTAACCTTACTTCCCTCAATCTCAATTTGAACAATCTCGTAGGAGATATCCCAGCTGGAATTGGGAATGCCACAAAACTCATTTCACTTGATCTCAGTAGCAACAATTTCACCAATCCAATGCCTCCAGAAATTGGAAACCTCAAAGACCTTCAAGTTCTTCGTCTCTACAACAACTCACTCACAGGCCCAATTCCACATCAGCTTAGCAACCTACAAAAGATGTGGCTTCTCGATCTCACTGCAAACTACCTAAAAGATCCTGACCCTGTTCAATTTAAGGGTATGGCATCTTTAACAGAGCTACGGCTCTCCTATATCCTTTTGGAGGCAGTTCCTGCATTCATCGCTGAGTGCCCAAACCTGATATTTCTTGATCTTTCTGATAATCTAATCACAGGTCAGATTCCTATGCCATTACTATCTCGTTTGAAAAGAGTTGAATTCCTGAACTTGACAAAGAATTCAGTTGAAGGACCTCTTCCCACAGATATAGGAAATTTTAGAAATCTTCGACACCTGAGGCTTGGAATGAACAAGCTGAATGGTACGATACCATTTGAAATTGGGCTGCTCTCAAACCTTGAAGTGCTTGAATTGCATGAAAATGGGTTTGATGGTCCAATGCCCTCTTCAGTTGGGAATCTCAGGAAGCTTCGAAATTTAAACCTCAGATTATCAGGCCTGAATTCCAGCATCCCAGAAGAACTTGGTTTGTGCACCAACCTCACTTACCTTGAGCTATCATCCAACAGCCTAATAGGCTCATTGCCTCTTTCCATGGCCTCATTAACACAAATTAGAGAGTTGGGAATTTCTGATAATAAACTATCAGGAAATATCCATCCATCTCTCTTATCCAATTGGTCAGAGCTTAATTCTTTGCAACTCCAAAGGAATAATTTTTCTGGAACAGTTCCACCTCAAATAGGAACTCTCCATCAGCTCAAGCTTCTGTATCTTTTTCAGAATCGATTATCAGGTCCCGTACCACCAGAAATAGGAAATTTGTCGAATTTGATAGAGCTTCAATTGGCCAACAACTTTTTCATTGGTTCCATCCCTCCAACTATTGGAAATTTGTCAAGTCTCACCAAATTAAGTCTTTCTTATAACAAGCTCAATGGAACACTTCCTCCTGAATTAGGTAAAATCAAAAGCTTAGAAGAGCTTGACCTGAGTGAAAATGACCTGCAAGGAACCTTGCCTTCGTCAATAACTGGCTTGAGAAACCTCAATTTATTTTATGTCGCTTCCAACAATTTCTCAGGAAGCATTCCTGAACATTTTGGCCCAGATTTCTTGAGAAATGCAACCTTCTCCTACAACAATTTTTCAGGAAAGCTTCCTCCAGGAATTTGTAATGGAGGGAATCTTGTCTACTTGGCAGCCAATAGAAATAATCTTGTGGGACCAATCCCTTCAAGTCTTAAGAACTGCACCGGACTAATCAGAGTCCGTCTTGAGCAGAATCTTCTGGATGGAGACATTTCAAATGCATTCGGCATGTACCCAAACCTCGAGTTCATTGACTTGGGAGACAACCGGCTATCTGGCTTGTTATCATCAAACTGGGGACAGTGCACAAACCTCTCAAACTTTCGCATAGCAGCCAATATGATGTCAGGTAACATTCCAGCGGAGCTTGGAAACTTAACAGAGCTACAGCATCTTGACCTCTCTGGCAACCAACTGATTGGGATGATTCCATTTGAGCTTTTCGGTTCTTCAAAGCTCAACAGATTAAATTTGAGCAACAATCAACTCTCAGGTCACATACCAGAAGAAGTTGGAATGCTGTCACAGCTGCAATATTTGGATTTGTCACAAAACAATCTAAGTGGGCAGATACCAGAAGAAATTGGAGACTGCCAGGCTCTTGTCTTCTTAGACCTGAGCAATAACAGACTGAACGGGACAATGCCATACCAGATTGGGAATCTAGTTGCCTTGCAGATTGTGCTAGACCTCAGCCAAAACTTGATCACTGGAGAGATATCCTCACAGCTTCGAAAATTGACAAGACTAGAAATACTGAATATTTCTCACAATCATCTTTCTGGCCCAATACCATCTTCCTTTCAAGACTTGTTGAGCCTCCAACTTGTTGATATATCACATAATAATCTTGAGGGACCCCTCCCAGACAACAAGGCTTTCTGGCAAGCTCCTGCTGCGTCATTGGTTGGCAATCCTGGTTTGTGTGGGGAAAAGACTCAAGGTTTGAATGCTTGCAGCAGGAAAGCTTCATCTGAAAAGCATAACAAAGGAAACAGAAGGAAGCTGATCATTGCCATTGTCATTCCACTAGCAGTCTCAGCAATCCTATTAATTTTGTTTGGGATTCTGATCTTCCAGCGCTGCTCCAGATCTGATCGAGACAAAATGAACAAGGATTCAGAAGGCAGAAGCTCATTTTCTGTGTGGAACTACAACAAGAGAACAGAGTTTAATAATATAATTACAGCAACAGAGAATTTTGATGATAAGTACTGCATAGGAAGTGGCTGTCAGGGAACTGTGTACAAAGCAATACTTCCATCAGGTGACATCTTTGCTGTTAAACGTCTTCACCGGGAACATCAGATTAAGAATTTTGAGGCTGAAATGTATTCGCTTACTGAAATTCGGCATCGGAATGTTGTAAAGATGTATGGATTCAGCTCCTTTAATGGATCATTGTTTTTTGTCTATGAGTTCGCTGAGAGGGGAAGCTTGGGTACGTTGTTGCAGGAAGAGAAAGAGGCAAAGCTTTGGAACTGGGATTTGCGATTAAAGGCCATCAAAGGAGTGGCACATGGACTGTCTTACCTGCACCATGATTGCACACCTGCTATTGTGCATCGAGACATATCAGCAAACAATATTCTGTTGGATGCAGAGTTTGAGCCTAAGATTTCCGACTTTGGGACAGCAAGGCTGCTAAGAGAAGGTGAATCTAACTGGACAGTCCAAGTTGGTTCATATGGCTATACTGCACCAGGTACTTCTACAACCCACAACATACCATAAAATTAGCAGAATCTTCGAGTGATTCTTCTTTTAAAAATTGAAACCATTTGTACAATAGTTCCATGTCTTAAAATCTCGACACTTATACTTACTTTTTTCTGTTACGATTTCAAAATGTTTTGCAGAACTAGCTTCTTCAGCTGAAGTGACAGAGAAACTAGACGTGTATAGTTTTGGAGTTATCGCATTAGAAGTACTAATGGGGAAGCACCCAGGCGAACTCCTTATACATTTGCAATCTGCAGGGCATGATATTCCCTTTTCAAACATTTTGGACGAGAGGCTTACACCTCCAGTTGGTCCTATTGTGCAAGAACTGGTTTTAGCAACAGCCCTCGCATTGTTATGTGTAAAGGAAAATCCCGTATCCCGGCCAACAATGTATCAAGTTTCCAGCGAACTATCAGCAAGTACATGCCTACATGTCCCTGCACCTCTCCGCCTCCTCACATTGCAAAATTTGATGAATATGTTGAAGGATCAAGCATCCTCTCTCACTTATTATGTGTAATTTGTGTGTTTCTTATTCTACACTCTTTCGATTAAGCGCAAGTAAGAAAATTAGTGCACCGCATCAGTGTAATTGCTAAAAACTTTTAGCAGCTAAGAATGAAAGCAAGTTGCTCGATAAAATGTCCAGCCAGAACTACATGCACAAAATGCATTTATAATTAATTTAAGAGCAACAAGAAAAAATGGAAGTGCCAATTACCTGAACTTGACGATGAAAAGCACGGATTTGCTTAATCGAAGATCTGTATGCAGCAGAATACGGCAACAGGGAAGACCGAATTGTCATCTTAAATTCTTGAGAGCGAGAGAGATTGACCCTAATCTAATCTAGGGAGGAAGAAAAATATCTTCTCTGGTTTTCTTTTTAGTTTCTTTCCCGCCCTTTCGGTTGTTAATTACAAAAATTATTTATTTTTTTATTTTATTTTCCTTTTCCTTAGTTTTCCTTATTTACTAAGGACTGCGATTTGTTTAAACCTATTTAACAAGTTTTTGCGGCTATCAAAATACTTACAGTGTGCAGGGAAAATAGATCGAGCATAAAAACAATATTGATTGAGTTGTTGTTCTTGTTCCTAAATCATCCTTAACAAATCAAGCTACTTAGACTGATTTTGTTGTCTGGGACAATTCTCTTATAAGCTACTTGGGTTATTGATGGACAGAAACGGCAAAAAACAAAGACGTACTTGTGAGGACGAAATTAGAGCAACATTGAGTAGCAAAGAAAGGGTTGATGACGATGTTATTACCGACCCAAAACGGGACATTAATGGACATGTTTCTGAAAATATGAAGCCATCTTTTACTGGCAAAGAAGAGGCTCTTGCTGATGTAAAAGAGGAACTAGCTAAGCCAAGCTGCCTGGTGTTGAAAAGAAAAGGCGGAATGCAGAAAAAGCTACCATTAAAGGTGAGGTGGAATGATCAAGTTGGAAAAGCACTAGCTGATCATATCGTTGAGGAAGAAGAGGGAGAAGAAGACAATGTCAGTATGTAAAGTAAAACCATTGGCTATATTTTACTTTTTCAACTTCAATTTCTTACCTATCCCACATCGGTTTATAGTGGCTATTTTGAAGCCAATATCTACGACAAATTCTAAGCTTGCACTGCAACTAGGGGGTGTGGGGTTGGGAATTAGTACATGCACCTATAAACCCTAAACCTTCTCCTCCTTGAAGGGGATTAACAATGGGGGTCTTTGACCAGTGTTTCCCCCGAAAGTGGTCAAAAAAAGAAACGCTGATGCCCATCTCTTTGCATGTGACTAGTTCCCTCGTTGATAAATTTACCCCTTGAGAGGAGTGTTTGAGGTGGTACCGCTTGCATCCGGCAGGTGTCTCGGGGTATTAGATTCCTCGCCTCTCTACCACCCCCAATTTTGTTGTCAGTTTCAATTTCTTGTTCATAATGTTAAAGACTATGAATCTCTTCCATTGCTATTATTGTTTAACCAGTTTTCAGGTCAATCTGTCCTTGACTCTAACTTAACGTCAAAAGATCCTCCGTTTAACTAATCTTGTTTTGCAGGTGTTCCATCCAGCACGACCGCCACCCACAAACAAGCATCGCTATCCATTGAAGAGCTACATCCTCTTTAGAGGTTAAACAATCTCAACAGATCCAGCATAAAAAATTGTGCGTAAACCTCAGAGATTAGTTCCCGTTGTAGAGGAAGAAGAAGACAACATGTAAAACCATTGGCTTCTAACTTCTTAAATTCATATGGTTACATCTTCTGTATTGAGGAAGCGCATTCTGATGATCAAATAGGTTATTATAATGGGACTTGATTTCTTTCTGCAGTCTGATGTTCTACTAATTCATGCGCATTTACTTAACTGATATTTTTGCGTTTACAAGCTGGTCCCTATATCCTTGAAATTGAAATGGCTCTGCTTCAGTTTTCATTCAGGCTTAAACTATCTTAACAACCTTCCAGGAATAAAGATAAACAACTGGAAACCCATATCACGTGGCAATAGCTGAAAACTATCAAGATGTCCAACAAATAAACCCTTTTGTCCCAAAAAATTTCTCAACCTTACTCATATCTGTTTGCATGTGGTAAATAGTAAAGAATGCAGTTAGAATCCAGTTCATGAAAATGTAGTTATGATTGTGACTTTTTCTTCTGAGAGAGGCAATGTGGATAGCACAAAATTAAAACCGTATTGTATTATATTACTCATTAATCAAACCAATGAAAGAATTACAACCACAAGCATCAAAAGCACGACCTTATGCCATAATACGCAACGGGAAAAGAGGAAAATAGAGATGGATGACACACCAAACAACACTCCAATCTTGTCTAACAAACATTAGAAGTGTGAGTTGTTGAGTAGGCTCCTCCTTTAGCAGCATCACCATTCAAAGCTCTCTCCAGTCTTGTCTCAAATGGAGTGGAGTGCCAGTTCACTCTCTTATCCTGCAGTCCCAAACAACTTGCTTAATTACCACCATCACTCAACACTTGACAGGATAGAATTTCCACAAATTTCACCAGATATGTACCTCTCTATATTTGCTGGTCGTGTTTGGTATTCCTTTGTAAGAAGGGGCTGAGCCAGAATCCTTGCCGGAGCTATTTTGATTCCAATAAGTCCCAACAGTCCCTATTATTGGCATCTCATCAGGGCTACGACTTGGTGACCTCCTTGGAGAAGAAGTAGCCGAAAACTGTTTAAGCTCTTCCACAGTTAGTGCACCAAGAATAGGCCTATCATCAAAGCTTCTTGGTGAATTCGATCCCAGTGGCATGCTTTTCTCATATGTAATGGTATCTAAGCCAGTTGAGCCAGGCTTGTTGACTGGTGTGCACTCAGATGAACCCAACCAATTAGACAAGCTAGCATCCACCGCAACTTCTTGGTTTGGCTTCTTACATTGATCAGCCTTTTCCTTCGAACTGAATGCCAATTCCTTAAAATTAGGCTCCGAGCTAAACGAAATCCGGGGTTCTTGATCCACTGTTAGATTCTCTTTCTGCTGCCCCAATGAAGGTTTCCCTTTTGCTTTTACAACCTTCCATTGACTGAGATTTTCAACTGGGTTCAGCACAGCAGCACTCCTATCTCGAACATTCTTATTCAGCTTTGCTTCCTTCCCAGACAAACCACTGATCATCTCATTATTATCAATCTCCTCATTAGTCATTCTAGACCTTGATTCTACAATTTCATCATCCTCACATACATCATCATAATCTAGCCCCCGTCATCGTCCTCCCCATCCTCATCGCTGTCATCAATATCACTTTCCTCATAGCCTAACTCATCGTCACTGTCTCTACAATTCTGATACCTGTGATTAGGAGGATAGGAACGCAAGCTTGAGGCAATGGAACTATCTTCAGAAGAGGACTGAGATTGGCTTGGTTTTGCAAAACTCTCCTCCTTCTCCTCCCTTTTGTCACCATCTTCTTCCCCCAATGTAAAATCCGTGGATTCTTCTACTGGAATATGGTCGTAGGTTGTCACATTCGAATTGAATGTTACTTTCTTTCTAGCACTCAAGCTCAATTTCTCCTCAAGCCCATCATCCCTATAATAAGCAAGAAAAAACCCAAAACATAGCATAATTGATCAAAAGCCAATACAAAACTTTTTTCTCCCTTCAGACATCTGTATAAAACAGATACAGGAAAAGAAAAAACCGTAAAGCTCAAAAACCTTAATGTCTTTTAACTACTAACCTGATTTCTGAAACTGGGAAAACAATAGGTTTTTCTGGGCAGTACTCCTGTACCACTGAAACGGTAGATTGCACTGGACTGTAAGCTTCCTTTCTCTGCAATCACAAACTCAAAATCAAAATTTAAGCTCTATTAATTTGTTTGCACAGTAAGAAAAGGAAAATTAAGGAAATCCAAGGACAAAATTTAAGAAATCGAAACCCTATCGAACAAAAAGAAGCAAAATCTTGGGCCTTTTCATCTTTTATTAGTATTGTACTCCTTCTTCTCTGGTTTTTCTTTGAAACCAAGCAGAGCATCAAATAGAAACTTGTTGCAAATAAGGGTACCTGGACTCGTGGTTGAACCTTGTTTTGCCTATGATGCTTACGACGTCTGCGATCTTTGGAGGAACCAAAACACGCAAGAAAGCAACCCATGAGGAATATCCTCTCTTTCTTTCTTCTTACTCTCTCTCTGTCTGTAATTAAGAGTAGCAGCGGTTAATAGCTTCTTGGTTCTTTATTCTAGAGTGAATAGAGACGAGAAATTTCTTAATGGGTCTTCATTGTTTTAGACAGAGAGAGAGAGAGAGAGAGAGCGTTTGTGTAAAAGGCGGTGGGGACAAAACGGTCAAGAGATTGGACTATGAGGAGGAGGAGAAGGTAGGGTTTTGTTTATTTTAGAGACGAAAAGGGAAGTGACCGTTAGGATTCTTGATCGAGGAGAGTTTGTGAACACAGCCTGTAAATTTGGGGTTTTTTTATTTTTTTTTCTTTTTGTCTCTTTCAAAAAGAGTAAATTATAAATTAGTCCTTCTAGCTTTAAAAAATAAATAAATTAATTTTTTATTTTAAAAATTATTATTTAGATCTTTAATCAGGTTGATCATATTTATTTTAATATTATTTTTATTCAAAAGATATCTTATTTTATCATCAATTTTTTTTATTTTTTATTAAATAAAAATAAAAAAATGAAGAAAAAAACTAGATTACGAATAGATTTTTAAAAAATAAGAACTAAATCATAAAAAAATTAATTAATTCATTTCTCAAAATAAGAGGGACTAATTTATAAGTTACTCTTTACAAGACTGCTGTGTCCGAACCGTTGGTTAATCCACTGAAAGTGATGGGTCCCTTTTTTATTTTGTTTCCCAGTTACGCGATCTCTTGCAAATTTAAAAGAAGAGGCGCCAACTGTTCTTTAAAACAAAAAACAATATGAGTAAATTATAAATTAGTCCTTTTAGTTTTGAGAAACGAATTAGTCCTTCAAGTTTGGAAATATTATTGTTTAATCAATTTTTTATTTTATACTTTTTTCTAATTTATTTTATTTTTATTTTCAAAACAAAAAATAAATAGATATTATAAAAATATTGATGAGAAAAAATATTTTATTAGAATAAAATAATATAAAATTAATTATGATCAACGATAGTTCAATAATTAAAGAAATAAGTTAAAATTAATTTATTTATTTTTCGAAACTAGAAATACTTATTTGTAATTTACTCAAACAAAAACAGTATTTCTTGCATCGTTGAATACATGATAGGAGTTTGAACGTCAAGACATCATTAGTTTATCTATTCTATTTTTTTTTTCTAAAATCATGATTTTTAAAGAAAAGGAGAGAAACACGCCATATTTTTATATTAGTTACAAATTTTGAAAAAAAGAAAATTGATTAAAATTTTGAAAAAGATAGTCAGAACGTTCAAAAACAATTGATAAAAATTATTTTGTGTTATCAAAATAATATTTGTCCATACAAATATTCATATTTCTTTTATATTTTCATTACTCATTATTTTTAATATGATACAATTCACAATTCAATATAAAAAATTGAAAGGGTTATGCAATCGATTCAACAATTATGTATTTTTAATGATTCATAGTCTCTTCAATTCTCTTTCTAGTTTTGAAGCTTATAAATATGATTGATTATTCATTAGTTTGTGTATAGGTGTTTTGTATAGATCAAGAAAATTGTTTATAATTGTTATATCATATATTATCTTTATTTCATAATGAAATCATTTTTTTATTATTTTAATCTCTAACTCTGTTGTTGTTACCATTTCTTTACAACATGCTATCGAGTACAAAACTCTAACCAATCAAGATAATAGACCATAAGGTATTTATCTATCAAAAAACTCAATTATTTATTTCAATCATTGGATCGTTTCTCTACACGAGTGCTCTACCAAAAGATCTAAATTATCTAGATCATTAGGAGGTATTTATCTAGATTAAGAGAATTATTTAGAATTGTTATCTCTTGTATTTTTTTATTTTATAGTGAAATCATTTTTTCATTATTTTAATCCTAATTCCGTTGTTGTTACCATTTCTTTTATAACATGTTATGAGTGCAAAACTCTAACCAACCGAGATGATAGACTACAAGGTATTTATTTACCACATGACCCAATTATTTGTTTCAATCATTGGATTGTTTCTCTACATGAGTACTTTGCCAAAAGATTTAAATTATCTAAATTATTATGAGGTATGTATCTAATTTATCATATACTTTAAATCTAATGATATATAGAATATACATTTGGAAAACTTAAATGATTTAATATATAGATCCAATGATTTAATATACATTATTTAAAAAGTTTAAATTTTATTTTATGTTTATTTTTATTTAAATTTTATTGTTATATTTTGTTCTTATTTTTTGATTTATTATTATTACTATTATTAGAGTTTGCATTATAAAATATTTATCATATCAAACATCACAAAATTTAATTTTATAGCCCTTGACATTTCGGACAAGAATTATTGATCATAGATGCTTGATGCCGACTAAATATTTTTTACTTTGCACGTCTCGAATATGTTCTTGCAGTAGCAATATCGAGAATAAATTTTTAAGAAATATTCTAAATCGATTTCATACTTGCTCGTGTTTAAATAAAATAATGAGCTATTAATGGAAAAATAATAAATTTCATCAAACTGGATCTATTCCATTCCCCGAATAAACGTGACAACTTATAATAATTTTGGGTATGGACAAAGATGTAGTCATAGTCATGGATGTAGTCGGAATAATTATCGTTATAATTGTAATGATCACAATAATACACATCACCACTAGAAGTAGATAAAATATGAAAAAAAAAAGAATAAAAATTTATCAATTTAGTATTTTGAAAAATGAATATTATAGATATGGTATGAATGAACAATGATCGCGTACACCAAAGCATCTCATTGTGCCTTATCAAACCTCGTTGAAAAAATAAAGAGTAAAATATAGAGCCCATTTTCATATATCAAAATAATAGTAAATGAAATCAATTATTTATTAGTTTTTCTATTTATTATAAATAAAATGTTTTATATTTCCTATAATTTCTATCTTATAGTGATAATTATAAACTTATTTGCTATATATTTAGTTATTTTGATGAAGGAATACATTTTTTTGTGCTTATTTAATTATTTTTTTATTATATCGGTTTAATAAAAAAAACTCCAGAAAAGTGAATATATTATTACATGGAGAGATAAATTTTTGAGACTTTAGAAAAATGAATATATTATTACTTGAAGATGCAACTTTTTAAAGCTCTAGAAGAGCGAATATGTTATTACTTGAAATGACAAGATTTAAAGACTCCAAAAAGGCAAATATGTTATTATCCGAAAAGATAAATTTTATTATAAACAATGTACTATTCTATCTAAAGTTTCATAAAAATTTGTTGAGTTTCAAAGATATTAATCTAAATTAATATCATATCAAGATAGCAAATGTGAAAAATATTGAATACTTATATATTATAATTATTATATCCGATAGAAAATATGTATTGAAAAATTGATCCATTTTTTCTTTTGGTCTTTATTATAAATATTTGGATGATTGAAATAAATAGTATAGTGAACCGAAGTTTACTAATTTAAATACTTTTGTTATGTGACATAATTGATTAGGTTATCTTGGGTCTTCGATGATGTAAAAAATTATTGAAAATTCATAAAGACATCTATTAAAGAGCTAAAAGATTTTTTAATTTAATAAAGTTTCATGTTTTGCTTGTTCTCAAGACAAATTGATTATTAAGCCATCACCAAATAAAAAATTGAATTGAATCTTTAATATTTTTAGAATGTATTCAAAGTGCTATACGTAGATCAATTCATCCACCATGTGGACTATTTAGATATTTTATAATTTTAATAGATGCATCCACACGATCATCATATGTATACTTATTATCTACTTAAAAACTTGCATTTTCTAGTTTGCTAGCTTAAATAATTTGATTACAAGCATAATTTTTTAGATTATGCCATTAAAACAATTCGTCTTTATAATGCCGATGAATTTATCTCCTAAGCATTAAATGATTTTTTATTTACACTAGCAAAAATTATTTTAAAAGGTACAAATAAATAAAAAATAATTGATCAAAAATATTTTTGTTAGTACTTTTATTTGTTTTTGCTATCATCATCTAATTAGTTAATACATAATGATCACGTGGGTCTAATTAATAAAATGATGGTCTAATAATTCATAAAGATCAAGCTATGTATATGATGATCGAACACATTTTATGGGAGTTTTTTTTTTTTTTCATAATAAGGTATTTTAAAATCTTATTTTTTGTAATATGATAGTTTTAAACTTATTTTCCATAATAAGGCACTTTATGTCAAATAAGAGCCATTTCATTTTAAAATCTTATTTCTTATAATAGGATAGTTTTAAACTTATTTTCCATGATAAGGTACTTTATGTCAAATAAGAGTCATTTTATTTTGATACATTGACATTGATATATCAACTTTAATTTTTTTTTACTAAAATTTTTTGTTATGATCGCAAATTACTCTCTCCTTTTGTTGTCCTATCTCTATTGATACTCATGTTGTTATGCTTCCTATGCCTTCAATAGCTACTATAAGAAGAACCCACCTCCTATAAGCTGTGTTTTTGGTTGAACAACACAGTTTACGAGTATTGATCCAACTCATATTTACGCTCTATTTTTGTGACCAAAGTCAATTCTCTCTCTCTCTCACACACACACTTTCGATCTCTCTTAGTTTTTCAATCTATCACTTGGTCTTTATCAATCCTTGGTTTAGATTCAAGTCTAAGGAACTATAAATTAGGAAAAAAGTTCTTGATTTTTTGTTGAAGGATTGGGCGAAATTCTCCTAGGGCAAAAGTTCTATTTTCCTTCTTGGTTTTATTTTTTGATTTCATATCAGGTATGTAATTTCTTTTTTTTTTTTTTTCAATTTCTCTCTTAGGTCAAGGTATTGTATATAATTTTCTTTTAATTTCTCTCCTTAGGTCTGGGCATTGGTAAACTAATAGCTAATTGTTAAATTTTTATCCTTTGGATGACCAAAAGTGCAGCACTCGTAAGAAGAGTAAGCTCTGTTATCAT